GTTACAAAGTTCCCTCTGCATGAAGCCATGACCTAGTGTTCTATACTGCAGGAATAAAAGTTGTCTTTAAAATATACACATTTGCAGGCCTAGGCAGTTATATGCCCATGGCTCTCTAGGTTAAATCAAACACAGGATTTCATAATTTTCATGTCATGCTACTGAGTTCCCAGCCTAAGCACCATGAGTGTGTACATATGCCCATGAATATGATGAGAAAATTCTTCCCCAGTGGAAGAAAGGGAGCTTAGAAAAGTTGTTTTGGTGACTCTTTGGTGACACTCTGTTAAATGTCAATCTAAAGGGAGCCAGTGTGATAATTTCTGCACAGTTATCTTTCATAGGTCTGAGATTCTCTGTTCCCAAATGCTTTGTTTTACCTCAACTTGACAAGTTGAGTTTATTATGAGAAGGTTTATCCACTCCTCCCAAAGAAAATCGCAGCGGATGAATTCGTGCTATAGAAAGGGTCAGCCTGCTTGTTTGTCGAAGCTAACCCCGAAAGCAGATGAATCCACATAGGGCCATTCAGCAACAGAGACTTGCTGTTGTGTCTCCTGTGGCCTCTGGCACGAATGCATTTCCAGAACACCAGAACAAGACATGTGGGACCAGAATGCTCAGGCTAGACTTTCAGTGTTTGGGGATCATCTGCCTTCACAAGCTGCACCAAACTAATTAAATGAGCTTCACAATCTACTCAGTTAAATGGTCACAATTTCCCAAATCAGTGCCAAGTGTAACTGGTGCTTAAATTGAGTTAAACTAAATTGATAAAAAGCCTGCTGAAGTCTTTTCTGTATACCAACATCAGGTTGGTTATTTTTCCAGTACAATCTGACATATTCACCCTTCTTCACTTTTCCCCAGTGTGTTACATCATTATAAAATGCTTAAATTGCTCTTCTCACACTTTCTAGAAAGAAATTAGGCAATGTCTACATAAAGTACCTTTGTAATGATGCATCTGCATTTGTACAAAGGATTTGTGCCAGTGTAATTAATTTAGTTAAAAAAAGCCCACCTTTAAACTTTTAGCAGAAGCACTTCCACAGGGACAATAAATGTATTTTCAAACCTAAATTGGAATATAAAGTAGAATTCATGGAGAAACATCAATGTAACTAAATGCTTTTTAAATTAACATGCAATTACAGTGGTTCAATTTTTTTGTGTTAACCTGAGCCTCCTACTGATTCTCCAGATATGACATAGGGGAGGTACTTGTACAATGAGGGAAACAAATACCCACTTTTGGTAAGCCTTTGAGAACCTCAAACAGTAGGCACTATGCAAGTGCCTACAATACAGTAAAGTATGATTATTACTATTTTACTCATTCAACAGTAAGTTACACAACAAAATAGCAGAAGTGCCTTTGAAAATATACATTTCCCAATGATTTGTAGGAAGAAGCTTAAATTACTTTTCTCAAAGAAAGTAGCTCACTGTGAAACCAGCTGTTTTGAGTATGAGCCAGCAGCCTCAGCAGTCTTCCTCGAGTCAAATCCACCAACACCTTTCTAAATTCACCCTCATTAAAAATGTTGATCATCCTGGTAGAAGTCCCTTAGGTATTTGCCAAGCAGTGCTTAATACAAGAACGGGGGGAAAAAAGAGAAAAACACACAAGATCTCTTTTCACTGCAATTACTTTGAAGAGAGGAGGGAAGTCATTCTTCATTATTTCAGTTACTAATCCCATCAGGTTTATATCATTATCTGATGAAAGTGTCCTTTTTCATTGTCTGAAGGCATAGTCAAGACAGACCAGTGTGACAGCTAACTTTCTGTAGGAAAAGCCTGTGATCTTTTGCTGGGATCTTGGCAACAAGCCTGCCTCCTGCCCATCACCTCCTGCCCATTGCTGCAAGCCTTCCCCTTACCACTGCCACTGCAATGCCCGCTCCCTTTTGGAAGAGTGACAAAGGAGTGCTTAAAACTAATTTTCTTCTAAAAAGTCCCACCAAAATTGCAAGTATCAGTCTGTAGTTGCTGTGTTTGAGGGATCTTTGACAGACATGCTTAATTTACAAGTGAAAATGAAGCTGATGTCTGACCAGCAAGCATCTGGGGTTGCCAGCTTGGAAACCCAAGGTAAGGCCTCTGCTAGGCTTCAGCCAGGGGAGCCTGCTCACATTCTGTGAGCAAACAGGGTTGTATGACCACGTAGTTTGTGTAGTGCCATCACCCCAACAAGGACTTGCACGAGTGGCCACCTATCTGTCTACAGCCAGGTGGATCAACTGGGACTTCTGGTCCTCAGAAAAAATTGGTGTGCCTAGGACTCAGACATATGGCATCTCACTTAGCAGTCCATAACCTTTCCACCTCTGCCATGCCTTCCTTCTTTGTAAAAACCACATATTTCAGGCAGTGTGTCCTTGCAGACACTCATACAAGTCAGGCTGTTTGCATGGAAGCAGCTGGATGGAGTTGGGTGCTTGGTTCAATTTGCAGCAGATGCAGAAGAGTACAATCAAGATCACTTTACATGTTGGTTTGTGAGGCTAATAAAAGCAGCAAGCAGTATCCTTACCTCTTTCTCCTGTTTCAACAGATGCACCAGTAAATATATGCACAAAACATTTCTGTAGAAGAAATTTGTGTCACTCTTATGTAGCTACAAGGATGCTTTCGGTAGTTATCAGTAAGAAAATCTGTGCAAACTTGTAAGACAGAAATATGTATTTGTGACAAACAGGGTCTATGGAGAGGTTGCAGTGAGGTAAATTTCTTTTAGAATATTTGAGGATCATAGTTGTTTACTTTGCTGAAGAAACTTGTATTTGAATTTCCATTTTCCTGTGAGGAAGGAATGCTTTCAGTAACATCACAGCTAATCCAGGTGGTGCCCTCTTTTTTGCCTGTAGAGTGTCAGTTGCTGGATCATTTCAGACGTGGCAGGAATGACACACAACCTTACAAATGCTGATGCACAAAACAAAACTTAGTATCTGAAATGCAAAGGAGAGAAGAATAGCCTCTCCTTTTCAGCTCTGCAGAGGTGAGCTGAAGCTCCATGGGTGATGCAGAGCCAGAGGACATGTGCTGCCCCATGCCAGCTTCCCCATGAACATGCTAGGGCACATGAAGTGCAGGGAGATATCCTCAGCTTTCCCAGGGGATTTGAGCATGAGGCAAAAAGGTATTCAGAACCTAAATTCCACTTTGTCCTTGTGCCTTATATTTCCCGCTGCATGCCTCTTGATCTCTCCAGAGACATCTTGCCAAAGGAAATACTGGGCATAAGGCTATAGCTGAAATTTCCTCTGGGGAGTAAGTGGGCAGTAATTAGGGTACTGTAAATTCATGCCCAGACTTGCTGAGCACTCACTCAAGCCCTCAGAAGTTACTCACCTGACTTTATGGCCAATACCTCAAGTACACCAGTAGGAATTAAAGAGCAGTTATTAACAGAAGATTGTGTATGCATATTGAGAGTACACATAGGAGACCTTGCCTCAAAGAACCAAAGAAATTAATGTGAGAACTTAATATTCCTAAAAGCAGTTGTAAGGCTGAAATCCTTACTGTGAAATAAACTTTTAAACAGATATTACAGGCAATGTATTCTGTCCGATGATACCTCAGAAAAAAAAACATCACCATCAAAAACCAGCTGGTTTTGCTCTGGTATTTCAGTTAAGATAGCGTTTATGTGATAATTAATGTCTGGAAACTTTGGAGGGAGGTATGCCTACACCTGCGATTGGGATAGGCTGTGTCTTCATTAGCAAAAACTGCAGCCAAGCAGCAAGAGATATGTGGAGCATAATAGATACTGAGAACTCAAGCTCAGTGGTTCTGGGAGGTGGGGATTGTTACTCCAGTCTGCCTTTAATGTGGCCCTGTGTGCTCGGCAAACACCAGGTACACACATTTTCCAGTTTTGTTTCACCTGCAGGCAGTCCCCAGCTGTGCAAGCTCATTGCAAGCGTGATCCAAGGGGAAGGGGTGAAATTCCCTTTAAAAGAACAGAAGGGGAGGTGATGGAGCAGACGTACTTTCTGTCTTACACCGACTCTAATCCCATCCCAAACAGTGACTCCCCTGCTTAGTTTGGATTTGTCATTTACCTTTCCAGCAGCATGGTGCTAGGAGCATTTCACTCATTTCCCATGTGGATGGAAAGAAGCTGGGAGATGCTTAGTGAATTCACAGGACTCATATGTGAACTAAGCAGCTCCAGCCTGCTGTGCTGTCAGGGCTGCAGGAAGAAAAGACAAAAGAAACGATATCTCTTATTTATCCATTCAGAAATACAACTGTAAATTATGTTATGATTTTGTCAATATATGGTGCTTGCAAAGATTTCAAATAACTAATGTTCTGACCTCAGGGGCCTTATTGATTTTGTAATAATTTCAAAGAGAAGCCACTCAGTTTACCATTTGCTGACGAATTCTTTGCTCCCTAAGGAATTCTTATTGAACATGTATTAAAGACAGGATAAAATAATTTTAAGGAAATGCAGAGAGATGGCTTGTTGCAAAGACTCTGCTCAGCGAATGGGTATTTAACCTCTGACCAGTGACAACAGGTCTCCTTTAGCTCTATTAGATCAACAGCAAGCTATTATAATTAAATATAAAAACTGTTTAGAGCCTCACCGAACATGTCCTGGGAATTAAAGCATATGGCAGGGATAGGGATAAAAAGACTTTCCATATGCTAATGACCCTTGATGTCTGAAATAAATTAGATCCATTAGAGTTTATGCTCAATAAAAGGAAGACTTTAAGCACTCCAAAGTTAGTGACTCGAGACCGATTTTGGCTTAGAAATTCAATCTGCCTGCTTATTAATTCTTAGTAAGGCTCTGGAGGAGACAGGGGATGCAAAATCATAATTCTGTGCTGTATCAGAATTTTAAAGTGCCATCAGTTTCTTTTCCTTTTTTCTTTTTTTTTTTTAATTAAACTATTTTTCATGCTTCACTTTTTTGTTCTCCTCATTTGATTTTGTTCCCATTTTTGTTTAATTTCTTTCTTTTTAAGGTTTCATTTATCCTATTTCAACTGAACAGAGAACCCAGAATGAATATGGATTTTCTTGTAAGTTTACTGTTTGATTTTATGTTCCTGGATGCTGATTTGATGCTGTTCCTTGAGTCAAGCTTTATTGTTAGGTCAGCTCTGTGTAACTCAGCAAAGAGGGGCCTATTCAGCAGAGTAAGTAACATGCTACTTGCTTGACAGCAATCGCAGTGTTTTGCTGTCTGCAGGTTGGCACAGAATGATAAGGGCACAAGGGAAATGGAAGAAGAGGCTGACTCAGAGACTGAAACTGTAGAGAATGAACCACCTTCTCATTAAAATTTCCTTAGCAAATGAAAGAAAGGCAGTAGAAGGGTAACTTTTCTTTGAGCCAGAACTCAGAGATCTGCTTCCTGAACTGCTGGGTTAAAAATGGGATGCTTCAAGGTTGGTAAATTGGAGGTCTGATAGCCAGGAGCTTACGGAGATTGATCACTCCCTTTCTACATCTGCCAGCTCTCACCTCTTCAGCTGGAGGGCAGTTTGGCTTAAATGGCTAAAAGAAATAAAATAAAAGTGATTTCAAATGTTTCAAACTAACAAAAATGGGGTACTAAAAAGTCTAATTTGTTTTTGCACTTCCTTTTTTCATTAGGCTATTTCTAAAACTGGGATTCTTCACTGTATAGAAACACATCAAATTTTGATCACATATTCAGACCTTTTATAAAAAGATGTCTGGTGGATAATGATGCTAGAGATTAGCTTGGAATTGGTGCTGATGATACGGTATGAGCGGCTAGTAGAAATATCACAGCCATTTTCTCACAAGACAGGTCAAATAAATCTGGGTTCCTTTTGGTAAATTACCACATTCTTTGTTTTGCTTGCTCCTGCTTTTATCCAAATACATATGTGTTAATGCCGATGATGAGAATTCAGTGTTTGATTGTCTGCTTTACTAGTTTATTTTTTTAAAGGCAAATGGACGTAAAGGGAGTAATGGCTTGACATATTACAGTTTAAAAAAAAAACCAAACTCAGGGGTAGTGATATTCCAGGTATTCCATAGGAAATGGAAATTTTGGATTCTTTAATTTTTTAAAAGTAAAATATAAGGCTTCTGAAGTTCAAAAACGCACAATATTGTTTTTGTTATCAGATAAACTTCTAAATACCAGTATTACGACACTATGTTGCTAAGACATATTATTTCATAGGATGAATTTGGTTCATGAGACTAGGTCTATAACATGTTGTGCTTAGTAGTTCACAGCCTGAGTACTAGACAGATGAACGAGTCGATAGGGAAAGAGTTAGACCACAAGTTAGAGAGAAATCAAAGATTGTTTTCCATCAAAAGGGCATACACCTGTTATATGATCTTGGAAATGGATTTCAAATTATCCTATAAAAAAGGTAGTAAATATCTGCAGGAAACAAGAATAATGAAAGTGTGTTTTCTTGAAAGTCCCTGTGAGGATCACACATTTCTTCAAGGTTCCTGGCCTCTCTCCCTCTAGCTGCTCCTGACTCGGATGACGTTGCTCTCTACGTCGGGATCGTCATAGCCGTGATCGTGTGCCTGGCTATTTCCGTGGCCGTGGCCCTCTTTGTCTATCGCAAGAACCATCGTGACTTTGAGTCAGATATTATTGACTCCTCGGCGCTAAATGGGGGATTTCAGCCTGTTAACATCAAGGCTGCAAGGCAAGGTTAGTTTTCATTTCACTCCATTTTGACCAGTTGGGGAAGATACAGTGAGGTTGTGGTCTCTTGGGCTGCATGAATGATACTCACTGGATGCTTGTTGACACTTGATAAAAGGGAGAAAGATCCATGTTCATTTGTTTCTGATAGTCAAGTGCTCAAAACCCATGTTGGTGCTTTTCAGATGTGTTCAAGAGTATAAAGCAGGGGTATTTAACTTCTGAAGAGAGGAATGTGGGAGTGAAACATAGAAACATTTATGGAAATACAGGTCCAGCTCAAATTTAAATCAAAGGCAAAGCTCTGACAGAAACAACAGAGTGATAATACAGAAATTCTATCACATCTTCCTCCCCTTTATTTCACTAATAGCCTTTTTTCCTGTGCTCTCTCTCCACAGGTATAAGTAGTAGTTTGAGAAGTACTGTGCATTTCAATAGACAATGTAGAAAAAGTTGTAGTAGAACATCATTTAATAATGAGCAATTTCATCACTGGTGCATAACAGCTTTATTACTTCCACACTTCATTGGCCAGGAAAAAAAAACACTCTAAGGGTAGTGCTGCCTTTTTCAAGACCCATATTTAAGCTGAAGAGTTCCTCTTTTTTCCCCATATCTGCTCCAGAAGGATAAATCAAAGTAAGAGTTAAGATGACGAGAGTTGTCACGTGGAAGATTAGCAGAAGTATTGTTTTCTTTGCTGGAGAAACTTTTAAAACAAATCTCCAAAAAGTGTAATGCAGGTAATAATCCCTCACTGCAGGAAGTCGTGGACATGATGGTTTTGTAGCCCTGTTGTGCCTTTTATTTCAGGAATGCTGTCATTAGACCAGTTAGATAAATGTTGCACGGCATTTAGGAAGAGGGTATTGGTTAAAACTAGACCTACTGAGTGAGAAAAACATCTTGCCCTGAAGCTAAGCATACCATATTTGAAATCTGAGTGCACCTTGGAAAAATAATCCCAGTGAAAAATCTTCATAGCAGAAACATGCTGTAATTTTATATGACAGTTGGATTCCAAAGCAACTGTGGCAATATGACCCCTGGGAATTTGCTGGAAGGTTGCATGGAAATGGAGATGAAAGTCAGGGACTTGGAGTATCTGAACCTTTGGAATAAAAGGCAAAATGCAGAATGCAAACCCAAATTGTTGCTCAGAACAGTGTCATCAGAATAGAGAAGTCATATGGTTGTTCCTTCTCACTTCCTTTGCAGACCTCCTGGCAGTGCCACCAGACCTCACTTCTGCTGCAGCCATGTACAGGGGTCCTGTTTATGCCTTGCATGATGTCTCTGATAAAATCCCAATGACCAATTCTCCAATCCTGGACCCGCTCCCTAACTTGAAGATCAAGGTTTATAACACCTCTGGTGCGGTAACTCCCCAGGATGACCTCTCTGACTTCTCCTCCAAGCTGTCCCCACAGATTACACAGTCTCTTCTGGAGAATGAGACCCTGAACATGAAGAACCAGAGCCTTGCTCGGCAAACTGACCCATCGTGCACTGCATTTGGGACCTTCAACTCCTTAGGAGGTCACCTAGTAATTCCCAATTCAGGTAAGTGCTCGCCATGTTGGCTTAAAGGTACAGTTGTTTTGTGGGTTTAAGTGGAGTTTAGCGTGCTTTTTTATGTGTGGGACAAAAGCCCACACCTGGGACTCTGCCTTTTCTTTGATCAAAACAAACTTCTTTCGCTTCTACCAAAGGACTTCAAATATTTCCTACCCAAACTCCTGACCACCTTTTAAACACTACAGGCTTGAGGAAGAGTGGCTGTAAAGCTGCCCAGCAAAAAAGAACTTGGAGGTGCTGGTTGATAGTCAGCTGAACAGAGCCAGCAGTGTGCCCAGGTGGCCAAGAAGGCAAATGGCATCCTGGCTTGGATCAGGAATAGTGGAGTCAGCAGGACTAGGGAAGTGATCATTCCTTTGTACCACAAAGACCACAGCTCAAATACTGTGTTCAGTGTTGGGCCCCTCACTACAAGAGCACAAGTCTTAGGAGTAGCAGCTGAGGGAGCTGGGGTTGTTTAGCCTGGAAAAAAAAGGAGACTGTGAGGGGACCTTCTTGCTTTCTGGAACCATCTGAAAGGAGGCTGTAACAAGATGGGAGTCAGTCTCTTCTCCCAAGTAACAGTTAAAGACGTGATCTAGTGGTGAACATGGTGCTGCTAGGTTAATGGTTGGACTTGATCTTGAAGGTCTTTCCCAACCTAAATCATTCTGTGATTCTAAACAGGATATTGCTGGGCTCTTATCCACTTTCTCAGACATGCAAGGCCTCAGATGTTCACTGTGTGAAATGAAATTCAGCATCGCCTTTTGCTTTCATGCAGTCCTAGAAAAGGGACCTCAATACAGTAAGCCTCTATTTTGTCATACCACATGAAAGAGGACAAAGTAATTTAAAAACAAATCAGTTGTTCCATTTCTAATTCATTGAAGACTATGTGTAATTGACAGCAGAATACTATTTTTGAAGGCTTTTTACCTGCACACATTATACATCCAAGGAAAATAAGGGCCCTTCCATATTTGTCTCCTTGTTATATGTCTTGTTGACTTTCTTTACAACTAAGAAATGGAGGGACTGAGCATTGAGGGCCTGTTGATGTAATTGCAAAGTGCTGCTCAGTCTTTCTCACACGGAATGAAGCCAGGCTTCCAGGCCCCTTCAGGCCACCTTGGCACTGGTAAGCAGTTTCAGAGCATCCAGGGAGCTGTTGGGCAGCCCTGGGAGAGCTCAGCTCTTGCAGACAGATCTTTTTACCACATCCATACTGCTGTTTGGTTCCTAAAGGAAGCATTGATGTTCAAATTGAAGTTCAGCACCTAGATATTTCAGTGGGTTTAGTATGATACCAAAGAGCAGCATTAACATCCAAAGTGAGGATAAATCACATCCATAAAATGTTGGATGGGGGGATACACAGGCTACACAGCAGTCAGGAATACTCCTGCCCAGTTTCTCTGAATTCAGGTAGGACAACAGCACATGTAAGACCACAGCTTACAACTTGGCCATTTTAAAGCAAGTGCCCCGAGCAAGGAGGTAGTGCCTTGTCTCCTGCTCCTTTGCTGGATCATTTCTTATTTGTTGATGTTATGGAGAAAGCAAAATGCCTAAGTGGCCCAGGACCTAGGTGGTTTCGTCCTTCCAGGATGCAATCCCACACTGCCCAAGAAGCAGCCAAAAGTAGTTGGAGTCATGGCCTCCTCTCTGAGCTACTGTGGAATAGGAGGAAAAAATATCTTTTAAATTTAAATGGAAGCTGAACTACTTCAATAAATCTGGTGCTGACTGCTGAGCAATGTTGAAAATTTGTGCTATACAGTCTTGGATTTCACATTTTCTAAGTAGCAGCTGAAGGTAGATATTAATACTCAGGTTTCTTATGCCATGGTGGTACACATTATCAGCAAAGTCTACTAGTCACATTTAATTCACATATATTAATATCAATTTGTAAAGAAAAAAGTTCAGTGCTATAATCCCTTCAAAATGATTAAAGTAATGATTTTGTAAAATAAAACAATCCATCTACTGCTACCATGGATGCCTCTGTGCTGCTTCTAGATGTGTGTATATCCTCCTCGTGACGTGATCAAAGCCCTTCATTTGCGCTATGCCTGCACTGTTATAACTACGAACATACACAGATTAGGTTGTAACAGACCCGTAAACAAACAAATACCAGAAGGCATTTGTGGAAAATGTTTTCCTAGCTAATCCCTCCCCTTCAAAGCCAGGTATTGGACTGAGCACCTGTACACCAACACATGGGAGGTCTGCAGTGTGACCAAACCCTCTATGCTAAAGAAAAGAGACAGGGCTGTACAAGGGGTCTATATAGCCTCTCCTGTGTAGACATGTATGTAAATAACCTGCCCATAGATTTGTTTTCAGCTATGTAGCAATAACTGTATTCGAATCCTTGCCACTGATTTCCAGTTAATCCACATCTGCAAAGACAGCTGGCTGAGTTGTGTCCACAGGAGTGAAATAGCTGATTCGTGGACTATGTTTGTTGTGTTCAGACATTTCTGAAATGGTAGTAACGTAAGATCAGTTTTTGATCAAGTGTGCTGCAAATCATTACTGAAAAGGGCACTGAGCATATTTGCCTACATTTTTTTCAAGGTTGGATACCCCACTTTTGAACCACTTTACAGGACTAGGCACATTAAGAGTGCCAAGAAATCCAGTTTTGTCTCCATGGTACTCTTGGAGCTTAGCACAGTAAAAGACAGCATACTAGGCACAAGAAGCCATCTTTCAGGAAACAACTAGTTCTTATTGTTTCCTGGGACAGTGCTCCACTGCTTTTCTTTCCTGATTTTAATTAAGTAAGAATTGCCTAGGGAGAGATGTCTGTCCCATTACAGCTGTTGAAAATTTTAGTGAGAGTTGTTTGTTTTTTCATCACTTTACAAGGTAAGCAACAGCATAACCATCTGTCTACTCTTTAAATAAAATAAAAGGGAAGAAAATCCTCTTCTCCACTCCCTTATTTCCATGTGGGTGCAAAGGGAGAGTAAGAACAGGCATGCTGGAAACATCAGGGTTACAGTAGATACTTTTTCTCCCAAGTTGCTGAGATCATTAGAGTCTGCTGGTGAGGGTGGCTGAAAATCTGGCATTTCAGGCTTTCTTCTGTCTCTCATGTCATTCCTTTTCACAAACCCACTTGCCCCTTTTTTGTCCATTTTACCTTTTGTGTCTCTTCTGTTCTGCAGGAGTAAGCTTGCTGATCCCAGCAGGTGCCGTTCCACAAGGGAGAGTCTATGAAATGTATCTGACAGTTCACAGAAAGGAGAACATGAGGTAAAAAACTGCCTTTATTTCCTTGTGCACTAACAGAGGGGGAAAATGTAGTAACTAAAGATCTGTGGTAATATGCTTATGCAAATCCTACTGTGTTGAAGCCGTTTGCTGACTTGGAGTTAAACACAAGCAAAGCCAAGGATAAACTTTGCCACAAAACCAGCTCAGACTTTAGCTTTTCTAACCAAGAGTTGCACTCTGCATCAAGCCTTCAGTCTGGGGCGATGCTGAATTGTAGCAGAGAGGAAAATGTGCCAGCATGAGTTTGGTGCAGCAGAGAAGGTGTGAGGTAACCTCTTGATAAAGACCAGTGCTGCAAAGAAGGGAGCAGAGGAGCAAGGTGACAAATCAGCTCAGCAGAGAGAACAGGTGCCTGAGCACCTGACTTGGAAAATCTCCTCTCCTATTAGAGTGAAGGTGAATTTTTATTTTACCCTTCATGGGCTTGGCTAGTCCATGCAGTGAAGAGATGGAGCCGAAGCTTTTGGTGTTCTCCACCTCCTTGCTGCTTAGCCCCAGAAAATGCACACCAAGGGCCACCCAGAGCCAACGCTGGGATGACCCCTGTTGTTGTCACCTGTTACCTGCATGTGTAGCCAGTTCATATTCTGGATCTTAATATCTATCTGATATTAATATCTTAATATCTATCTGATCTGGCAGCCCTGACATAAAAAAAATTATTAAAAAAAAAGACTAAAATACCATCTGAAGCCATTTAGAAAATCCTGATGAAGAGAAAGGTGAGATCTTAGGCTGCAGAATGGACTTGTGCTCTAAGGCTGAATGGCAAATGTGAAACTAAGGCTGTCATTACACGGTACTTTGCCTCTTTCTCCTCCTCATAGCTAGATATGTTTTTTGGCTCAGCCTCTTAATAGCTTTTATTATGTGCTAAGCCGCAGCTGTTTATACAGTGTGTGATATTGAACACTATTCTTTAGCTTGGTAGTCTTTCACTCAAGCTAAAATAATCTGCTTAAAGAAAAATTAAGCAATCCTCCCACCCACCCTTTTGCATACATTATTCATTGCTTGCTCTTTGAAAATAGCTAATTGCAGCTACAGAAAAAATGTCTCTGTTCAGAGCTAGTATTGATTCTATTCCTATTACTTTTGGCTGTGTTTTAAAGACATTTACAAGCAGTATTGAAAACGACTCTTTTCTGAAGAAGGAAAAAAAAATTAAAATCAGATGGCATCCTCTGTTATTCCACTTGCCCCTAAATTTCCCTTTCTAAAATACCTAGTTCTTAAAAAACAAAAACAAAATTTAAAAAAAAAAAAAAAAAAAAAAAGTCATTCCTAGAAAGAGCTATATGTGCAATTATTTCCTTTCCAGCCAGTTATGGAGGGAATCCCTGTTTCCTTATTCATGCATCTGTGGACAACTAATGTCTCAGTCTAATTTATTTTCCTCAAGGATCATAAAGCCTTCTCTGCATGCTTTGTGATAGCTGTTATTCAGCAAGTCACACAGGGAATAAAATGATAGGTTAACCTGTATTGGGAAGAGCATGGTTGGAGAGTTTTTGCCTACCAAACTGAGCAAGTATGCCAAAGTACACCTGCAGAAGTGAACAGAAAGGTGTGAGTCCTCAGGAGAGGAGAGCAGAGAGCAGGCTGCTTTGGCCGTGTGGCAGCAGGGCCTCATCACGTTGTGGTGGTATCACTTTATGGATACACCGACTCCAGCTGCTTATTTGGTTTGTGACAGTTTTTTAGCTGCCCACAAGCATACCAGGCTTTTCATATTCTTGGAAACCAAGTTTTTCTAGGACACATAAAATGGAGCTCATCAGGTGTTGTCTAGATCACTCAGAATGGAATATTCACTAAAAAGGGCTTAAACATCACAGAACTGTAGCATCCTCCTGTGTTACCTGCTCCTTTTTCCCAGATGCCAAGGAGCAGAAGTGGGTGGTTGGTGCCCAGCTGTATCTGTCTCCTGCTGAAGGACCTGTTACTAGATACTTCACTTCATGTAGCAGACCTGCAGCTCAGTCAAAGCTTCTTTTTCTGACTACACGGGCCACAGATGTTGCTTCGTATAATTGGAGTCATATGGGTACCACAAGTTACTGTGTAGTGTAATTATTTTTTAAATCTGCTACTGCAGTCTTCCACTAGCAGAGAGTGATAGTCCCCAGTAAGGACTGGCTGCAGATATTCACTTTTGCAGCCAAGCGGTAATGGCAGTGTGTTCAACAAACCCTGTATTTATTTTCATGAGCACAGTGCAAATGTGTACAGGATGAAAAGTCCTGTTAGATGTTGATGTAGTTTGGAATGGGACATATAGGAAATTTTAAGATGGGTGTTGTAATCAGAAATAAAGGCAGCGTCTTGTTTTTGATATTACAACTACCACTGAGGTGAGAATGTGTTCTCCATTGCGCTACCATAATGGAACCAGTGCAGCAACAGAGAGGTTCCCTATCACAGATCACGGATTTCCAGCAACTTAAGATTTAGCTCACACAGCTACTTCTGAACAGTCAAGCTGAAACAGTTATCTCTCAGACTCCTGCAAATTCCCCCTTTTCTTTTCCTTCCTTTGTTTTCTCAATACATTTCCCCAGTTAGTCTCTGAAAGCTATAGTACAGATATTTGAGAGACTTCAAGACCCAATAATATCACTCTTTGTGTTGCCTCGTGGATTGGGTAGGAGAGCTTTCTGAGACACTCTATTTATTCCATTTCATATTCATCAAAGCATGTGAGCACCATAAAAGCATTATCCTTCTGCAGTGAATTGGGGTTCTGTTAGCTTTCAGTAAACACTACTTGGAGGCAGTTGTTATTCTCTAAGTGTGTTAGCATAGTCGTGGCACAGTGGGCTTTCTGCTCCTGTCCTGCAAGCTCACCCTCATTCTGCCTGTCCTTTGGGGCAGGATGGATGGCAAGCAGCTACCAGGAGTGTTGACCTCATGAAATGATCCATGTGTTTTATGAAGTGGCTACAGTGGGGAAAAGGACATCTATGTATATATGGGTGTTTGTACACATATATGTATATGTGTCTGTTCACATATATATATATATCTGTAACTTAAAAAGTGACAAGCCCATAAGAGTATTTCACAGCTATCAGACAGGTTTCTATCTTGAAGCTCAGTGGCTTTTTCCATGGTGATCAGGTGCTCCCTTCCTTAGTCTGGGGAAGTGTCACCAACTTTGAGACTTGCAAGAAGGGGTCCCTGCTTGAGCTGTGGTTTCATCTATAAAATAAGCCCATTGAGGTGACTGGTACCTGGTAAGAGCCTGTTCCCTTGAGCATCTGTGAGAGCCTACGTCTTACATGGCGAGGAGTTAAATAGCATGAGTGTAAACCTCCAGCCTCCAGTATTTTCTTTACTGCCTCAGGTTAAAAAACAAATGTAGCTGTGAGCTAAATTAGTGGAACTGTGTGCTTCCTTCAGAAACATCTGGCAGTGGTCAGTGCTAGATGGGGTCTGGGTCTTGATGGACCATTGGTTTTATCTTGTATGGCAGTTCCCGTGTTTCTGTGTGTGAACCCCTGCCGAGCTTGCACAGCTTTAGGTGGAGCTACTCTTGCATACTCTAATCAGAGGCAAGAACTGCACTAAACAGATACAGCACTGTGAAGGACACTCCTGTATAATCCATCACATAGGAGGTGTTGCAAATGAGAGTGGATGTCGCTGTGCCCACAAAATGGGACAACCTTGAAGAGCAGAGCAAGCGGCACTCCTGAAGACCTTGATGTACACACATAAATGTACAAATTCCAAATTAGCTACCTTAAAAGAGAGAAGGGTCAGGTGAGCCTTGCCAGGATTTGTATCAATGACTCTATAGCAAATGCATAGAGTGCACATTAAAGTCAAGCATCTGATCAATGAATTTGATCCAAGGAGCAATATTGCCTTTTTCACCAGTAAACTTTAAGCTTAGTGATGTAAAATAAAAGAAATGGAAGTCTTCCACATCTCATTTCTTCACCTTCCTTCTGTATCTCAGTTGCGTAAACAAAATTACTTTGCAGCTCCAGAAGACAATTTCATGAACTGCCAATCACTATAATAGAAAAACTCAACATAAAAAAGATCAGTGCATGAGCAAAAAGGGAGAGCAAACTTTCAGATTATTTTCCTTCTAAAGCTAGACTGGCAGAAGAACCAGGGTCAGTAGAGAATATTAAAATTGAAACTTAAGAAAGAACACATATTAAAAAATAAAACCCCAGCAACGAAAGGAGGAAGAAAATATCTTCCCTCTAACTTTTGGGTAAGCTGTGTAGAAAGGTTTGACGTCTGTTGCTACAAGATAACCATCCCTCTCTGCCTGTTCCATCTTGTGCTTCCTGAGCTGCTGTGGTCACCTGTAGCATGTACACATGGTGGTAGGGAGCACAATGTAATCCCACTGAGGAGCAGAGATTTATCTAGTTGTGCTTACATCTGCTGCCTGACAGCTACCTTAATGAATATGGTCTGGTTTATTACAGGGAGACGGTTTTGAATGTGTAATCCCATTAAAGACACAAATTTGATTGTGAAGGGACCAGATATAGTGAATAAAAGTTTGTTTTGCTTTTAAATATAAGTTGACTGTTCTCAATAATAAGCTGTGAGGCATGGGAAAACATCTTAAAATATCTGAAGACCTTCCAGTTACTTTTAGGACCTTCTAATGAAAGTGCTAAGCAGTGAATTGAACTTTAGTCTTAGGTCTTTGTAAAACAAAAACATCTATTTGACATGCAGCTTATGTCATGTTCATACACCATGTCTTTGGAATCATGCATCTGAAAGCACAGTCTTTTCTAATAATTTGTCCCAAGACTGCTGCAAGCCTAAAGTGAAGCACTTATGGGTGGGGTTTTGGGAGCATCTGGATTTGGGGTTCTTTTTTGGATAACTGCCTGAAAGTAGGTTCTGGCCCACAGCTAACTCCCTTGCTCTATATGCTCCCCTGTGTCTCTGTCCTGGGTCTCCTGTGATCTGTAGCACATAAATCATAATACTGGATCACAACAGGCACTCCTCTAGGCTGGGATCCTGCTTTGCTGGAGCTACATCACCTGCTTCAGGAAAAGGAAGAAAATTGCTCATAATGACTGACTACACAATAACTTGTCTTCAGGGGAATTTGTTGTTTACTAATTCCATCAATTAGTGTTGGGTTTATGCTTTGAAGCAGAAAGATTAATATCTCTTGTATAATATATCTTGTCTACTGCATCTGTTTCTGTTCTCATTAGCTATAGCAAAGCATAATCCTTTCGTTTTAAAATGGAAATTTAAAACAATGAGAAGTAAGAAAAAATCTATCAAGAGATTTTTGTTTATTTGTCCTGTCAGTTGTCATAGAGCACCTCTCTGCTCTGTGGGTGCCATTGGATGGTTTAGCCTCATTCCCCTGAGTTTCAGGTCTTTATTTCGGAGATCTTGTTGCAATCCCTAAACACCCTGCTCCCTGCAGTCATGTTAGAGCTGGATTAGAAAGGGAATGTCACCATGGTGTGCTCTGACATGTGTTGTCCCATACAGCACCAGAAATCAGATTTGCTTTTTGCCACTCAAATTGATGCCTGCTGTGCTGCAGCAAAGCTCACCTGAAATCTTGTTCACTTTTATTTCGTTCTTTGCTACCAAATAACTCTTTAGAATTTGTTTTGCTCTAGCGTGAGCTACTGTACAATTAATAGGATTTTATTTCCTTCTCGTATTTTTACCCTCTCTGGAACTTTTGCATTATTTTCTGGCTCCCAGTGTTACTTGCAGTGATTCCTTATTAGTTGTTACCTCTAAATTTAATGATTGTATTGCTATTCACATTGTTTTCCACATTGTGAGCAGAAATCCTGACCTCACAGTAGTCAGAGAGGAGTTTAGCATGGACTTCAATAGAGCTGGGATTTCATCTCGACAGTGGCACTGACGCATTTCACAGCACTTGAGAACTTCTCTGTAACTCATTACATCTCAGTTTTTAAAGGTTTCTCTGCATGAGGTGGATGGTGGAGAGTCACTAGGACTGGCAGGTGTTCAGTAATTTTGTCATGCCATTCTCTGATGTGTGTCTGGTTGGGAATTTGCGATTGTAAAGTCAAGCGTTCCTACAACTGGCCTGTTTTTCTGCTCTTCAGTAATCAGACTGTCCTCTATCATAAATACCCCAGTCAGGACCATGCCTACCTCACCCGATAAATCTCATAAGTCTGGTGATGAAGGTGCTGTTTAGCAACTTATGGAAAAATATTAGGCCTTAATATTTTTCGCATGTCCTTCATAATCTTGTATGCACCTGCCATCTCAGTTGCTCAGTGTGCAACTGCAACACATTTCGACTTGGTGTTGTGTATGATTTTTTTTTATACTTTTCTTAATTGGATATAAAATGTTGCAGCACAGAATCATGCCCCTCATCGGAGTCGTAAAATTTGACAGTTTAAAATATTTTGCCATGGAACAGTGACTAAACTTAACTTTACTTGGAGACAATTTTAGACTGTCTGATGTATCAGTGCTATATTATTTTTTAATGACCTTCTGGATTTTCTGAACCACATGCATCAGTGCTTGTTGATTTTTACTCATTTTTCACCTAAAAGGCACTGTATTTTTTTTTTTAACAATGATCATGATATATTCACTCCTGTATTCTTTTTGACTACTGCGTTTGTAATTCAATCCAGAAAAATATGATAACTTGTATTTTTTTTTCCTTCCTTTTTCATGGGTCAGTACTTTTAGATAAAGTTAGCTTAACCAGATTATTAAGTCTATAGCTGGTCATATCTGTAGCTTTCCAGACAAATAGTGTAATTTTTAGAGATCTTTCTCATAAGATACTATGGTTATATTTTTAAAAAGTCTTGAATTACACTGTAGGAGAATATTCAAATATCTACTAATGCCCAAGGTCAATGACCATTAAAAATCACTGTGAGTGTTTTTTAGGCTTCTTGTTGCTTCTTTTGAAAAAAATAGCAAAGTAAATGAGTTGGAAAAAAAGGAATGTGGTAGTGAAAAACTCTTCAATGATTTATTCAGTCTGATCTTGCAAGAGAGTGATACCTCATCTTCTTAATCTGAATCCAGAGATTCCCTGTGGTATGCAAGAGGAGATGGACTATCTGCTAGTGTTTCATTTATTTTGTGTACTGTTTGTTAGGCTAAAATAGCTGGTATAATACATGATAGCTGTCCAGATTGTTATACTTTACATCTTTTTTAGAAAGGCATCTATATCACAGCTGTTTGTTTCCAGTCCATGGATTTTCAGAAACAATTGTCAAGTCATTTAGTAAACTCATCAGTTAATTTCCACAGATGCATATCATCTGGATTTACTGATTTGCATACATTTAAATTTTTCAATGCCAGACCTTTTTTTTTTTCTCAAATGTCATGAAAACTTCCCACAACATCTGTAGCAACAAAGGACAATTTTCAAAAGTACCTTTACCCCATTTTAAAAAGGATTTTTCAAAAGTTTGTCATTCATTTTATGTGAGATTAATGGGACAGGCAGGGAAAAGTGAGGAGGACAAAATTAGATTATGCCCATGGACATGGATTTGCAAGAGCCAGAATAGGTGCAATAAATTGGATATCAAAATAGCTTCTGTCCTAAATTGGCCTCCTTGAAAACATTATCTAAGATTACAGCTACTTTTTTTGCTCTTTCATTTGGTAAAGACAAAGACTTGCAGAAATAAAATCCACTAGTTTCACTGAGGCCAATACAGATGTATTCTCATTTGTAAATGCAGCAAGGCATTGAACCCTTTGCTGGAGCAGAGGATATGAGGTCCCGTGGGCAGATCTGGAGTTTAAGTGCAGATCACATTGAACGCTTTTAATCTCCCACTTGCTGGTTTCTGGATCATGAACTTGTCCTCTATTATTTAGGGAGGCAGTTGATGAGGCACATTCAGCTGTATTTGTCATACACCAGATGTCGGGATAGTTAAAGTCACTCATGCTTCCTCTTGTTTTAAGCTCCTCAGCAGTTGGTCTGGGATGGTTTGCACGTGCACGCATGCTCGCACACACACACACACACACTGTCATTTAAAAACTACAGCGTACTCTATGTATCCTAAATATTGACATGATTTCCCATAACATCCATTCCTAATGACTGGCAGCAAGCACACTGGATAATATCTCTGTTTTTAACTGAACAGCTCTGGGTAATCAGTAGAAATTTTGGGCTTTGAGAGTGTGTTTTGCCCTCTGCGCTATCCCTTACCGTCCCTTCATCCTTTCTCCATCACTGCCAGTGATGCCTGCTCCCTGCAGGCATACTTGCAGTAGCAATTCTAGTAGATATGAATGCCTTTTAAGTAAAATGGAGCATCAGTGGGTTTGGTGATAACTCAGAACTCAAACTGCACATTTTCTCCACTTAGGAGGTTTCAGACAGGCTTATTAGTTCATTGTCTTCCTCTGCTCTTCATTTTTCTCTGTCCTGACAGTAAATAGTCCTCACACATGGTGATTACAAAAGCCACCATTCATTTTTGTCGGTTGCTGAACAACTACCAAATGCAGCAGTAACCACATTTTGGAATGAGTGAAATGAAGCCTCTGCATACCATCTGCAAGGAGCCTTCAAGAGTGGAGGGCACTCAGGAAATGTGATCTACAATCTACTGACACCTAAGCCTGCATTTTAACCAATGAGTGATATTTGGGGAAAAAAAAAAAAAAAAAAAGAAAATAAGTTTGGATTTGAAAAAATAAAGGAAAACTAAACCCACCTGCACCATCTTTTTATTTTAAGAAAGGGATTTTTATAGTTTTGCATACCCGAATGAACCTTTTTGTCTTTTTCAACTCACTTAATGTATCCATCTTTCTGTTTCCTCGTCAGGCCGCCTGTAGAAGACAGTCAAACCCTGCTGACACCAGTGGTGAGCTGTGGCCCACCAGGAGCCCTGCTAACCCGGCCCGTCATTTTAACCATGCACCACTGTGCAGAACCAAACACAGAGGACTGGCAGATCCAGCTGAAGCACCAGGCTGCCCAAGGACCATGGGAGGTGAGGCTCTGGAGCTCCAGCCTGTGTGCTGACTGAATGAAGGGCTCTCTGTTAGTCTTTCACTTCCCTTTCTGAACCTGGATGCCTGTATTTTGGGTTTTCCAGGTGAGACACTTAGCTGTTACAGGCAGACAGGAGCGCCCTTCAGCACTAGGTATCTAAGCTGCCCAATGCCCATGCAGGAATGCTATCTTGAGGCAGTTTGGCACTTCCTGATTCTAGCTGTTTTCCATAAAATAGCCTTCATCACCAGATTTTGGCACTTAAGCTACTGTTTCTGGTAGGATATTGTGCCAAAGTCATGGGGTCAAAAGAAATAGGCAAGATAAAAAGCAGTGCCTGAAAACAATTTCTGTCTTGACTTTAGAAATAAGAAAGGATTTTTACAGAACAGTTTTCAGTCTCCTGGCTTTTAGTCTGTTTTTAAGAAAGTGAAAATAAGGCTGCAAATTATCTCCTTCAGCACCAAGACATCATTCAGCTAAATAAAATGTATATATCTTATACATATAAATATATATATTTTCTTTTTCCCTCCTAAGATTTTGGCGGAGATCACTTTGATTCAGTTCATGCAGCCAGTATTGAATTCTGCACCCTGAAAACTCAGGGGAGCAGAGCAAACATTGTTGGGTAGTGCAGGCTTGGTGGGAGCCTGATGTGGTTCTTTGCCAGCAGCGTAGCAGGAGAATATCCCAAGGCAGTGTGGCACAAGGATCTTCCCACTGTAACTGGAGCATAAAGTGATGCTTTCAGCAAGCCTGGGCCATCCTGACAGAGCCCTCCTCTCCAGCCCTGTGCTCTTAGGTACCTGCTGCCACCAGTTTGGTCTCATAATTAATTTGGCAAGGGCACTTTCTCCTACCGAGTAGGTTTGATAAGGTCAGGGTGGCTTCTGAAGGTAGTTGGGCTGACAGCAGCAAAAGTACCATGTCTAGCATTGCCTTCAAAAGCCTTCTCTGTGTGTCCCCCTGCCTGTAGCACCAGCTTTTCCTCGTGCTGGGAGGGAGCATGCAGCGAATCCAGGTCTGTCTCGCCAACTGATCTGCACCCCACCAGCCTGACTCTTGGCACTGCACATATGTTCCTTATTTATGCCTGTGTGTTACTGGCATCCCTCCATTTTCTCCCCCATCCTCCTCCTGCCCTTGGCAGAGTTTGCTGTGCCAGCCATGCACACACTGGCACCAGTGCAGCCTCCGCAGCATCCACAGGGTCCCTGGCCATCACACAGCCATCTTCTTTCTCAGTTCTGGAGCAGCTTCTCCAAGCTGAGCCTCACACACACACACAGACACACACAGACACACACACACACAAACACACACAAACCCACCCACCTGCATTCATGCACACCCCTGCAGCATCACTCAAGACCAGCACCTCCTGCCAGAACCAGGTGCCGGCACGGTCACGGGGGAGGTGCACTCAGCAGTAGCACCTTGCCCTCCAAAAAGATTGTGCCACCCTTGCAAACATGCCTTCCCTGAGACTAGGGTGCCCAAGTTTAATGCCAGATATCAGTTGAACATACGTACTGCCAAGTGTGTACATTGTGCTGCAGACCTGCAGGCAACAGGGGTGAAGTGGGCAAGTTGTGCTGAGCATCATGTAGCCCATGGTGGCTTTGCAAGAGGCAGCCGTCATCTGCTGCTGCTGTTTTGCTTCTGATCTCTCTCAAAACCATTCAAAGCACCTTGTGTTGCGTGCAGGATATTACATGCAGGGTTGAATGGAGAAATTAGCAGGGGAGTTGTTTTTCTGCACGCCCTGGGTGGGGAGGTCAGGCATTCAGGCTGTATGTATTTTTTTTCTTCACCCTGCAGTCTTGTCATGGAGGATTATTCTGGAGAAGCAGCAGGTGATATTTCATGTAGATGTGGCATTTGGCCATTGTAGAGGTTACTTCCCTTTCTTGAGTTTTTATAACTCCTTATTGTCATGCTTAGGAAGTAAAGGGCAGTTATTTATTCAACACGCCTGAGACTACTAGTGTTAAATCATGGTCACTAAATTATTAGTTCTGCAATATATTCTTCAATGAAGTCTTGGTGATATTTTCATTATTTGCCTAACTCTGCCCAGGGCTTTAAAAGCAGATGCAGGGCCCAAAGGAAGGAGTTCCAAGTCTTAAGAGAGGGACAGCAGGAGGAGTTTTTTACCACCAACATCGCCCTTGGCACCCCAGAGGAATCATCTCCTCCCTGTGCCTACACAGGAGAAAAGGTGGAAGCAGGAATTTTAATCTTGATTAGTCTAAGATGCAAACAGCAAGGACTTTTTGCATCATGCAGGCTTGAAAGGGGCATTGCTGCCTTAAAGGATAGCAGCTCTGAGGCATCACATGTGCTAATTTCACCTCTTTCTCCCTTAGGATGTGGTGGTGGTTGGGGAGGAAAATTTCACCACTCCATGCTATATCCAGCTGGACCCAGAGGCCTGCCATATCCTGACAGAAACCCTCAGCACGTATGCCTTGGTGGGACAGTCAATCACCAAAGCAGCAGCCAAACGTCTCAAACTGGCCATCTTTGGACCACTGTCCTGCTCTTCGCTGGAGTACAGCATCCGGGTCTACTGCCTTGATGACACACAGGATGCCCTTAAGGTGGTTGTTGATCTCTTGCTTGCTTTCCCTGTCCCTCTCCAGATATAGGAAGACTGCAGTGATAGTGGTGATTAGATCCTCTGCTCCATGTATTCACGCTCACTGGATTATTTTTCTGATTAGAAGAAGAGCTTGGCAACAAGCTGCTTTTTTACAGTTTAACCTCCACATGCTATAAATTGTCCTTTGCATAGGGGTCTCATGCTGTTTTCAGCCCACCAGTCTTTTTTCCTTTGTTTACCTGTATCATATCCTGAATCCTAAGGTTTTTGCATTATTAAAAGGCCATAAGGTACACGGGACTTCATTCGTTATTCATGTATTTTTAATGCTAAGTGCCAGCTCCCCAGAGATGGGGAAACATATAAATGCTTCTTTGTAAATAGATGATAATGATAAAAGAAGCTTCTGGCCCGTTAATCACTGCCTGCTTTCATACTGCTTTATTACACCTCTTCGCGTGCAGTTTTTTTTGTGTTGGGAATTCACAGCTGAAATAAACCAAAGCTGTTGCTATCCCTAAATATATAACCTTACTCTCTGTGCATAATTCTGGCGTGCACACAAACAACTGCTCACTACATACAGATGAGCATACAGATAACCATAATTTTTGTTGTTTCTCTTTATAAATACCTGTATTTATACCAATGGTATCTATAATAGATACACTCATGAAATACGTAGGTCTAACTGCGTGTGCAAGAATGGAGTTTATTTAAAGATGTTTTGGGTTTTTTTACTGTAACCAGTGCAATTTCACAAATGCCTCTTTGCAGCAAAATGAGTTCAAAGCCTGACTAAGTAGAGTCATCCTGGTGCTGTATATGCTTTTTTTTCCCCCTCAGCTCTGCATGGGAATTATGAGGATTTAAACCCACATACACTGGCTGGGAGATGTTTGTGTTTCTCAGAGCAGTGACTTCCATGATTGCTTAGTTTTCCTCCCCAGTACTGTCTGATATCAAGTTTTGCCTACCTAGGCTTTGCTGAGGGAATACTCTTTCACTATATGTAAGAAAGGCAGCCAAGTATAAGGGTTGAAGCAGGCACGTTGTGACTTCAGCGTAGTTTTGTCTGTACAGGGCCTGGGAGTTTGGCCTCTGTCACTGCAGTGGTGTTGTCAACCTTTTAGAAATAATTTTTTTCCCTGGTCTGATTTCCCTTTTGTTTTTCCTCCTCTAAAAAAAAAAAAAAAAAAAAAAAAAAAAAGTGAAAAGGATGTTTCATAGCAATCAAGCTTCAAAAGCCCTGATGGTTTTATGTCTGTGCTGTGTAATACAATTTTCCACGGGTTCTACAAGGCCTGAGGTAATAATAAGTGAGTCGGAGAGCCCTTGGACAGCCAGCTAATGCAGTCAGAGCTGAGGAATCTAATTAGGTGTTACTCAAGAGCTGTTGGTCTGTTTCTAATAGACTGTAAGGGAGAGTTGTGAGGTAAAGTTAATCCAATTCGGTACGACAGTAGAAGGGATCAGGAGAGGCACAGAACCACACAGAGGGACATCCTTCATCTGAGAAGCTGCAGCCAGCACTTGGGAGGGCAGCAGGTCAATCCTTGGGCTTCTGCTGCAGGTAGACCCCAAAGTGAGATCATTTGTAGTTTTGTAAGGAAAGGTGAGCAAAGCCAGGAAGCCACCATCCCACTCATACCTACTACATTATTTGTAGTAAGTTCATGCATTTTAATTCCTTTTTTTTTTTTTTTTTGGCATATCTACCCTAAGACTGGAAGGCCACCCATGGGATTCAAGATCTAGCTATCTAATGGTTTGCAGGAGGACAAGCACACATACTTGCTGGCCACAGACACTTAAAAAAGTATCAGTTGCACTTCTTTGGAAATGAAAGGTCTGGGGAAGGAGAAAGCTTTAAAAAAAAGGAGCCTAGTAAACTAGCTGTAGATGAGTAAAATGGATGTAGATGGAAGTGTTGACTATGAACTGATGTGTATAAACTGCTGCATATGAACCAGTGCATAAAAACCAGTGTGTACTGACTATCCCTGTGAGACAGACTCAAACTGTGACTACTGAGAAAGAAAACAAAAGGTTGGGGTGTTTGCCACGTGCTTTCACAGCAGCTGGTACCACAGCAGCCCTGGCAGTGCAGGGAAGATATCCTTGGCACTGCCATATTGCCAAAGGGAAGGCATTCACTGGGCAATTACCACTAGGAGTGTGGGACACAGCATGCAAACAGGGCTGGGCCAGCAGAACCTGAGGTTAAAAGTATTTTGGAGAGGGAGGAAAAGTTGCAGACAGCAGGTGAGGCACCAGCTACAGCATCTTGGTGTCTTGAGGCTGGCTGCTCTGGGCAAAGCATAGCAGGGGAGGGAAGAGCAGCGTGAAGTGTCTGAGCTTTGGTAGGGCCTTTTAGGGGTTTATGTGTATTTTAATAGACAACCAAATGCATTCTGTTATTATTTACAACTAGGAATGAGTGTGCCATATGCTGAATGTGTCTTAACAGCCACCAAAGGAAGACAAGTATTTGCAGTATAAAACACAGTGCAGTGTTTATCCAGCAGAAGTTTCCCTCTCATCATGCAGAGTAAGCACTCGCTGCTCAACTGCCAGCACCTGCAGTACAGTAGGGAAGTTTAATGACTTCTCATCAATAAGGACTCAGTTATTGTGGGAGCAACTTAGTGAGGTTCCTGAGGGCTGCAAAGCAGTGTGGGCTCAGCGCTGATCACACATGCAGCATCCTCTGCCCCTCAGGTCCCAAGCCACCCAGATGGGATGTTCACAAAAATGCTTTTTGGGCAAGGGTAAGGGTAGTTGTGACCTCGAGCACTGGCCTCTGTTTTTTAAGGCTTATTTTTGCACTTCGATTGGGGTGCCTAAGCTAGTCTGCTAAAAAAAAAAAAAAAAAAGGGTACTAATTTGATAACTACAAAGAAAATCCAGCTGCTTTATTCTGTTTATTCATGTGTGGCTCTGAGATTGAGGTGTGTGACCTGTGTGTGGCAGTGTGGCAGGGGCTGAGCCTACAGGCACATGAAAACAGCTGCCTCCCTCACTAGGGGCAAGCAAATGACTTCAGGCTGTAGCAGGGTGGAATCCCCCAACCTACCTCATACTGCACAGTAACTGCCTTCAGCACAACCACACAAAAATGGGCACAACAGGCTTGTGATCTTCTCTCAGTTATTTAATGCACGTTTCCTCTTACTGAAGGAAGGCAACAGCTTAGACTGAACACCATTGCTTGCCTGTGCCCCTTTAAAGAGCAGGCCCAGGTTGTGGCTGTTCTGGTTACACTGATGATGGAGTGATGCTTTACACAGCACCCTCTTCTAGGAAGGGTGTAAGGGCACAGTCCTACCTCACAGCAGGGGTGAGAGGCAGTGGGCAGGGCTGCAACCACCTCAGCATGGGGCAAGGAACATGCAGCTCAGGTTTTGGCTCAGGAGAACGTAGAGGTCCCAGCCAGCAGGATAAACATTGCTCTAAACTAAATGCCGTATGGCAGGAACCAGCCATATTAATTCTAAATTGATTAGCTAAGGGGCATGGGAGAAGCACAGGCTGCTCAGCATCCTCCAGTAAGAGCATGTAGAATGGCTGTGGTGACCAAGGGTCACCAAAAGGGTCCCAACAGAAGTGGGATATTGAAACTAGACACCCAGATCTGGTGGGTGGGATGGTGCAGCATCACACCACAGTGTTTTTCCCCACAGTAGTGCAGCTCCCAGAGCTGCTGCAGCACGGGCAGGAGCAGTTTCTCGGCACCCATGCCCCACATGCCTGAGAGGTGGCATCTGCAATTAGCTTACAAGTCGTCTTCTGGCCCTTCCAGGGAGGTAATTTGGAAATAATGAAGATCTATAGTAATCAGATAATTGCTATTGATTGCTCTTTAGACATCTTGACAAAGTAATTAGGTGGCACTAGAAAGAAGCTGGAACTGATTCATTGGCATAATCTAAAGCTGAAAGGTGTCCTGATTTTGTTTCTTTTCCTCTAACAGCCAATAAAAAAACATTGCTTTAGCTTCAGGGTCTGCCATATGCTGGGATAGGGGCTTTTCTTACATGCTAACTAGCGCCCTGAATGTGGTCAGGAATAGCTTAGCTAAAATGGAACCTCCTTTATTTGGCCTGGGGTAGTATCCTGGTTTTGTGTGCCTATATATTCCTTGAGCATTCTCACTCTGTGTGTGATTGTCTTTGGCCACATGAGACTGATTGGTTGGATGGCTCTTTTAATTAAATATGACGGAGATGGGCTGTTTTGGTTTCTAACAGGGCCCATGTAGGTGCCTTTGTACTTGCTTCTCCCATGTGGTCTACAATTAGGCTGTTTGTAGGCAATATTCCACTGTGGTCTTATTAATTAAAGGCTTATATTTATTTTTAGCTTCAGAAAATGACCAGACTCTTGGCTCACTAGCTTTTAATTACATGATCAATATTTCAGTAACCCTGAACCAGTGTATTCATATGTACAAAATGCTCAGAGTGTCTTGCATTGTTTCCACACCACCCTGTGACAGTCTCAGCATAGGCATCTGTTATCTCCTGTACCACTCTGTTATAGAGCATTTTGTTAGGAGGTCACAAAGGTGAAAGACCAGTGGTATGCACAGGTCCCGTATCAGCAGGACCTACACCGAATAAGAGTTACCAAAAACAAAATAGCAAAACTACCATTAGATGTCCAGTTTAATGAGCAACGGAGAAGACTGATCCATTTCTGTACTCAAGCAGTGACTGTGTGCAAAGTCTTTGCATTCCATATAATAGCATGCAATTAAACTTCTGATTAAGGACATGCAAAATAACACTGCATCTCCCAAAGACAGGTGCCTGCATCTCTGCTGGGCTGCTGCTGCATGAAGGGGGTGAGGGGCTTATACTCAGATCCACTAATACAGTTCCAGTTCACAGGGAAACACAATGCCTGTGTATTTTTTATTGCAAGTTAACAGCATCTACAGCAGACAGTCTGGAGGACTCAGAAGACCATTGGGCTGTCTTGATGAAACCTGACCACTTTCTTCTTTTTATCCCAATACTGCAGGAGGTCCTGCAGCTTGAGCGGCAGATGGGTGGGCAGCTTTTGGAGGAGCCCAAAGCTTTGCATTTTAAGGGAAGCACTCACAATCTCCGTCTGTCCATTCACGACATTGCCCACTCTCTCTGGAAGAGCAAACTGCTGGCTAAATACCAGGTGAGCAACACAAAACATTCACATTGGATCCTAGCAGTGAGGATTACAGAAATACTGTCATGCACAGGTGTGTTTGAAAAACACCAGGTGCCAGGCTATAATCCCATGGACAGTTTTTCCCCTGGACCATTTGCATTCACAGTAGCATGGAGCCCACAGTCTCTGGTCACATAGCATCCATACTGTGATCTCAAATCCCTCCCTGACTCCACTTTTTTGCTTTCCTCCTGCAGGAGATTCCCTTTTACCACATCTGGAGTGGATGTCAGAGAAACCTGCACTGCACCTTCACACTGGAAAGGTTCAGTCTGAATACCCTGGAGCTGGTGTGCAAACTCTGTGTGCGGCAGGTCGAAGGAGAAGGACAGATCTTCCAGCTCAACTGCTCTGTTTCAGAGGTAAATGACGTTTGTGCAATTTTCTATCCAACTGCAGGAATGTGGAAGGGATAAGGAGGTATGACCTTTCCCATTGCTACCTGTTTAGTGCTTCCGATTTTCCTCCTGACTGCTGTGATGGACATAAAAAATAGATTAAATCATTGCTTTTTATCTCCTCTTGCAATTTTCCTTAGTTTCTCTCTTCTGGAAGGAAGAATCACTCCTTCAAGGGAGTGAAGAGAGCAGCCTTGGTCTCCCTGCTAGCGCTACTTTTCTGTGTCTATGTGGAGGAGCTCTTTTCCTACCACTCCCTAATGCATCTCACAAAGCACTGCTTGGTCCTGTTTCCTGGCAGTCCATGAGACCTATCATGCCTGATGTTCCTGGAGAGGGAGAAAAGAGAATAGGAAAATTTCAGTGCCATATGTTTCATGAACCACTCCCCTCTGATCCCACATAATAGCTGCTGTGCAATAGGGAATATCAAATGGTCTAGTTGCAGTAAACTTTTCTCCTCGTATTTTTCTACTGCTACGAATCCTGACTATTATTTTTGGCAGTTTTTCTTTTGATGGCTGACACTGTCCAGTAGGAATTTTATCATAACTTTGGGAATATCTTTGCCAGTGCTATATAGAACCTGGAGAATTTTTGCTCCTTGGGGCAGTCAAGTTTGGGACCAAGACCAAGTGACACATTCAGATGTGAAGTGGCATAGACTTCAGTGAATATGCCTGTGGGTTTTATTCCTGGTACCCTTGGCAGCTACGAGAAGCAGACCCTCAGGCAGCAATTACTGCTGGCTGACTTCTGGAAGGGCTGTGAGAGCAGAGACAAAAGTTACTTGTGCTATAGGGCCCTAACTTTGTGTGCTATTACCCATAACATCTGCTTGGTTAGTGGGTGTACAGTTACAGATTCATCTGGGGACTACATAGCATTAAGGACAGATGGTAAAACAAGCATCTTAAACAATTATTGTAATAAGTGCTGCATTGAGGTAATCACTAATTTAACCTCACAGAGAAGAGAAAGAACTGAAAGTAACTTTAATGAAATGCAAGTGTACACTATAATCATCTTCAGCTGGTTGTGTGTAATATAGCCTGGTAATAGATTCAGAGGGAACAGGGTAATATTCTTGTCTTGTGCTGTGATCCTATCCATCAAGGATGAATAGAGGGAGTGAATAATACCACGGCTTTCAAGGCTGCCTCCTGCAAAATTGCTCCTTGTTGTTTACACCTTGTGATGTTCCCAAGCCCAAGCAAGGGGCAGGAGGACCTTGGGCTGCCAAGAGCTGGCATATAGGGTCAACTAGGAAAAAGTCCAAAAACTCAGAGATTTGATGAGAAGTCACCTGGAACCTGGAAGCAGATGTGTATGTCTCTAGAAGTGTGATAAAGACATCAGACCAGGCTTCAGGAAATCTCAGTTGGGGTACCTCACATTTTCTTCTGAGGTTAGGCTAGTGGTATCCAGCTAATGGTTAGGCATTACAGGAGTGTGCTGGCATCTTTCTTTATTGCTAGATCTGCCTCTGTGCCTCTGTCACTCTGCAGTAAAAATATAGTAACACAGTTTCCTGCATCCTCCCTTTATGGGCTTTCTTTTTAGTCCCCTGCAAAGGATGTAAGACTTCTCCAGATTAAATTGTTTTATGCTGGCTTTTACAGTGTCTATCACTGGGACTTCAAAACCACAAATGCAATGAGTGCCAAAACATGCACATTTGCAAAGCAAGGAGGAAGACTGCAATAAAGGTCTCCCATCATTTGTTTTTGAAGCTCGCTTTTTATCTGCTGGTGTTGATAATCACGCAAAAGAGCCACAGGACAATGCCATGGATACCTGAGTTCCTTCTGTAGCAATCCTAAAACACCTGAGGCTGCAGGCAAACTTGGGAGCCAGGGCAGCACTTGTGTCCTTTGGCCCAGAATATAAAGAAAAGGTTATCTGTCTGAAATGCCCCAATCACTACCCTACTGCTGCTTCCCACCTCCCAGGGCAGGTGAGCCTGCAGGCAGCAGCAATGTCAGGCAAATAATTTTGCCTGCTCCTGGGCAGCTCCTGCTGCCAGACAGTTGGGCAATAACTCATTGCCTGAAGCAGTGGGGTTGGGGTAGACAGTCTGTGATGCAGGGCCTTGGAACCCAAGTACAGATGTCACAATGTCACATTTGCCATGTTAACTGAGGACATTACAGTTAATTCCCTGGTTAGAAATTTCACTGCCTAAAATGCCATTTCTATTAAAAAAAAAAAAAAAAAAAAAAGGAGGGGCAAAAAATATCATATTTGTAGAGTGTAAGACAATTAATTGGTGTAGATAAAAGAATGGAGGCAAAAGGTTTAATTCTGTTCATTACTCATGGACACTTTCCATCTTTGAATACATTTAGAGGTGGGAAATCAAAGACTGCATGACTGTGAGCATCTCCAAGAAACTACTTGGGGGGTTTGCAGTGGCAGCTTAAATCAGGAGTTACCTGGTTTTAAGATAGTTTCAGGTATTTCAGGACCTTCTCAACAGCCAGTTTGACATCAAGCAACAAGACAGCTCACAGAGGTGAAAACAAATTGACATTTAATGACGAGTCTTTAGCAGAACTGTTTCTGGCTGCCTGGGGCTGTGATCTGGATCTCCCTCATTTCTGCCAGAAAAGGAGACCAAATTGAGAAATAGATTGAGAAACGTGAAGGCAGAACTAGCCATGCTTGCTGATTTTTGCATTGGAGGTGGGAAGTGCTGCACATGTGAACGGCATCTCCATTGCACAGTTGGGCAGCCAGTCGGCATCAGTGAGGTCTGGTGGGGCTTTCAGCCACCCTGGAGGACATCGCTGTTCCTAAACAAACCCAACCACCCAAATTGGCCAGCTACCATTGTCCTACCAGCTACCAAGCCTGTGGGTGCTAAGTGCTTCCAGGCCAAGGAAAAGACAAAATCCTTGCCCAGAAGAGCCACCTGCTGTTATTCCCAGCAGAGCCATGTTAACAGTGGTGTCATGGGGAGCCTCCCAGCTGGCTGGGGACAAGCTGGTTTTGGAGGTGCCTTTTCCTTTGAAACACTTGCTGCCACACTGCCTTTGAGCACAGCACTGGTCTTGGGGAGGGAGACGATGGCTGCCCCCTCCTGAGCACATCTCTTCCAGCTCCATCTATTTCCAGCACAGAGTTAAAGCTGCATAAAAATGAGGGATCAGCTTGTGCCTGGGGTGGTATTAACTGTCTGTCTGTGGTCTGCAGAGCATCAGAGGCTTCAGAGAGCTTGGGTACTGCCAAAAGTATATCAGTGGTGTGAGCCTGGGGCTGACTTGGTGGGGCATGGGGGGCTTGGGGACATGTTGGGAAGGTGGTCTTTGTCAGCCCAATTGTGTTCTAGTAATAGCAATTTGCTCTGAAATGTGTTGAAGTGCCTGATCTTTCATTATTTCTAGTAAGTGATTAATTAAGCTGGTCTCAATTTTATCCAACTGTAGTAATCTCGCCCCACAAAAAAAAAAGCCGTGGGGGGAGTCTTTTGTCTACCCAAAGTTGATTGTAAATATTTCTCTTTTCCAGTTGACTAACCTAAACACTTGATTGGCAGAGGGCTACAGGAAAAAGCACTGAGTCTTAGAGGATACAGTTCTACAATTGTCTCTGCACTCAGTAACAAAACTGATGGGTTGTTTGAGCTTTTTTCCTGTCTTTCCAATCTCAGGAACCTACTGGCATCGATTATCCTCCCATGGACTCAGCGGGCACCATCACCACCATAGTAGGGCCCAGCGCTTTCAGCATCCCCCTCCCGATAAGGCAAAAGCTGTGCAGCAGCCTGGATGCACCCCAGACCAGAGGCCACGACTGGAGGATGCTGGCCCACAAGCTGAAACTGGACAGGTGAGCAGGGTTGCCTGTGTGTGGTTGGGCAGAGAAGTGCCCAGGGAGGTACGTGCAAAAGGGTCCTGTTGGAAGTCCCTCTAGGTGAGTGACAGCAGGTGTACAGACTGATCAGACTGACTGCACAGGGGATTAACACCTTGACAGCACCAGCAATGGGGATGGGTTGAAATCATATGAATTCAGGTAGTTTTCATGCAGCTCAAAAAACTGAGTTTCCTTTTGGTTCATTGCAGGTACTTAAATTATTTTGCTACAAAATCGAGCCCCACCGGTGTGATCCTGGATCTCTGGGAAGCCCAGAATTTCCCTGATGGCAACCTGAGCATGCTGGCAGCAGTTCTTGAAGAAATGGGAAGACATGAAACAGTTGTTTCTTTGGCAGCAGAAGGAAATTACTAATGCAGCCTTGGCGTGAACAGGAAGGACAGACGCAGAGAGCGGTAATGCCCTGTTATTGCAAACGAGAATTGAAATGAAAACCCAGACCAATGAGTTACACAAGAGACATTTCAGAGAAGAAAGCAAGCAAGCAAACAAACAAAAAAACCAGCCCTGACCTTCACACATGTTCTCCTTGTACATTATCACAGGATCAAAAAGAAATCATGCAAAGTTGTACCTTGAAAATATAAATCAACAAAATGTTCCTCTCGGCTTGGCTGTACACTGCTTGGTACAGGATTTTACAGTTTCCTAGGAAACGCTTTTTATTGCTATCCAGATATATGGATAAACTTTCTTAACAATCCCAGTTTCTATGGATGTTGTTTACATCAAATTCTGGACAGGGGTAAGGAGACTGTCCATGGCTCTTTATATTTTTTGTTTAAAGCCATTCTAGACAAGGCTATGGACAGGTGGTTGTGGCTATTATTGGTTTCTGGTGAATTCAGATTTTGGCTACAATTCTGCACATTGGTTGTCTCGCAATGATCCTTCTGTCATCGTTCTGTTTCCTAGACCTACTTGTAAAAAAAAAAAAAAAAAAAGAAAATCAGGGTTTGAGAGGTGTGCATCTGGAAAGCAGGTACTCTGGCTGATAAGCAGGAACACAAGTAATGTTCCCTTCCTTTCCCGAAGCAGCCCCACTAAGCCTGTGTGGAGAACAGCTATAAGACAGTGGGGAATGCAGGATCTGAGTTAGTTTTCAATTCACACCCTTTCCACCCCTTTTCTATATGAGGGGGCCAGATATGCAATTCAGAGTGTTGGGGGGAGGGAATAGAAACCCAGAAAAAAATAAAAGAGAAGTTACTATGATAATTTTTTTACTGATTAGTACCTAGTGCAAGGATTATAATGACTATTATTATTACCATTATTACTTTATTTCTAATTTTGTCAGCAGCAGAATGAATAATTTCTGATTTTATGGAACCTGTTGTCCCTTTCCTGAAGGTCTTCTAAGACATGTTCTTCTCTATAACATCTGTCCTTCCCTTTGTCAGCCATCGTACTCCTCCAAAAAAGTCCTCTGCCAACCCACACAGGTTGCCCACCTCATGTTAGCACTGCTGTGCATCATGCCAGATGCAAAGGCAGTAAAAACTGGTGACACTCTGCTGAAGTCACTGATCTGCACTCACCAAGTATGTGTCCCAACACCCTTCCCTGGGATGTTTTACACCACCCTGGTGCTCACAGGTTGCTCCAAGAAGCAGTCTTGTCCCAAGGTGGCTGTGAACCAGAGGCTGTCTCCCAGTCCTAATACATATGGACCACTAGTTCAAGACCAGAGGTCTTGCAAGCATGTGGAGGCACCGACATTGGCCACCTGATTTGTGCATCGAGGGTGGGTCTCCATATTGTTTGCTTTGTTATGAAATGGTCTAAGAGCCAGCAACTCCTGTTCATTCCCCACAGAGCTGCAGGCACTCACTTTTACCGAAACCCACCACCTCTTGTGATGTTTGCCACGGTTGCGGTTACTGACAGTCCAACCCTCTGCTGGGCCATTTCTGTGTGAGATGCACTTGGTGATCTCCACAGACACTCCCAGGCTTTGCTGCAGCCTGTGTCATGTGGGTCAGTGTAGGGCAATGGAGTGGTGAAGTTGAAATCTCGTGTACTGCAGTTTGCTGCCTTCACTGTGCTCCTGCCACCACCGCTGCCTAGGCAGGGAGGTGCAGGTTCTCACCGGCTGATCAGGAGACGTTTGTCCCTCTAGGCCACCACAAACAGGTAAATTGGGAATTTTGAAAAAGAAGCAAACCAAAAATGGTTGTCATTTGAGAGTGCATAGCATTGCAGTAGTTTCACTGGCAGTCTTATCTGTCCTCTACTTCTGGCACAAAAAGCCTTTCTTCTTCCCCAGCCCACCCACTCCAGGTTTCCAGCCAGGCCCTGGTTATTGCTTTTGTGCACAACATGCATGCCCCTGCCCACATACATATTCCCACTCCATATGCTTTCTGTGACTGGAGTTGGCTTGTTCTCTTTTGTGGCTTTGGTTTTGTTTTCCCCAAGGCTTTCCAGATTCGGCTTTTGAAGGTAACTTTGAAAATGTCATTGGTCAAAATGAAAAGAAAATTTAATCTGAACCTTTTTTTCCATTTGACATTTCCATAGGCTTGGCACCTTTTGTTTCTCAGCTCCCTGACCAGTAAATAAGGTCAATCAAAACCAGTGGGGGTTTTGATTGACCGCTGGGGCAGTGAGCACAAAAGTTCCCTTCCTTGTAGGAGGTAACCTGGCAGTTTTCCAACCAGCATTTCAGTCAAAACCAGAGACCAGAGGATATACATTGTAACTTTCAAAATCTGTTTGCGTTTAGTCTGTGTAGGCCCCACCTTCTCTTAAGGTGGAGATTATATGGGCATTCTTTCAACAGCCAACCCTTCTTTTTCATCTTGGGCATCTGATGCAGCCCATTGCAATGCTAATGTAAATTTTGCTTTCAACTTCAGGACGTTTGGACTGGGGCTTCCAGCTCTGCACTTTCTCCACACCTTGTACTCACCTTGGAGCACTAAAATAGGTCTCCGCTTTTTTTTTTCCATCTTAAGGTGTTACCAGTTGTATTTAAGTTTGTGCTTCTTCACCTTTCCCATGTGTCCTTCCTTCATGACTCTGCGTCCAAGGCGGTGCATGAGTTGAACTGTCCTTCGACCCTTTCCTGTCTTTCAGCTCAGTCTGTGTTGGCTGATCCCCAGGCTCACTGGTGCTCCCCAGCTCTCAGCTTTTGCCAGATGGGCAGCGTGTGCACCCTTCTCACCAGGGTCACACCAGAAAGTGTCTCATAGTTATCTGTATTGCTATGAGTGGATGCTCCTTTTGCCAGCTCTCTGACCTACATTCTCATGCCTCCTGCAAGAAAAACAGATGAACAACTTTCTTAAAGTATTCTGGGGCATTTTCCTTTCACAGCATCATAGTAAAGGGGATTTATTGTGAGGAAAAATGCACACTCTGATTAAGAGGAGCATCCACAGAGGTGGCTGGAGGAACATAACCATTCATCACTGAACATGACTAGGGGCAGCAGCATCACCATCACTGGGTGGTGGAGCTGCTCTTCTTCCACCCCAGCTGCTCAGAAACCTTCTGTCACCTGCTGCAATCATGAGCTGTATGGTTTCTTCCTACCTGCTCCATAAGCCTTTGCAGGATCCCAGCACAGCATAGTGTCAGCTGCCCTGGCCCTGACAGGGCAGGGAGAAGCAGAGGAAGGTTCCTCCACAGAGTCACAGCTCATCCCAGCAGCTCTGCACTCATTCTTTGCCACTGCTGCCACTTCGCCTCACACTTCCCTGCATTAATTTTGCCCAGCTTTTTCTTTTTTTTCTTGGAGTACAGCAGTGGCTGGGTGTGCATTGTGGGAGAGGGCTCTGGCAGGGGCTGGTGGCATTCCAATCCTGCTGCCCCAAGAAGGGAGCGTGGAAAGCAAGAGCAGCCAGATCCGCTCACGGTATTATTATTGGTGGGAGAAAAACCAGCAGCAGTCCTTCTGCTTGGATTGTATGGACACAGTGCCATCTTGTGGGGCTGAGCGGTGGCTCCAGCATGCTGCTGCCACCACGGCGAGCAACTTCGCGTGGGAAAAGGCTTTCCTGTGGGATGGCTCTGACAAAGACGTTTGGCAGACAGAACAGACTCTTAAAAGTTGTTGTAACATTTTATGTCAGGTAAGCACATCTGCTTTAAAAGGAAAAAAAAAAAAAAAAGGCTGCAGGCTTCTTATCCTCCAGTTATTGCTCTTTTTTAAAATGCATATCATTTTAGTTGTTCACCTTTGTATCTGAGCAGTCTTGCTGCTCTCCACGCCATCTCTTCATTACGTTGATTACTAGCGCTATAAATAGTATATATATTATATAAATATATATAAAATATCTACTGACTTCGAGGAAAACCTTTAATTTCCAAGTAAACCATTTATTGGAGGCAGTCCTTTTCACCTGTTTTTTTTTTCTTCAGTTCTTCTTGTGTTGTGTTCTTGTAAAGGTGACTGTCAGTGTGTAGGGTAACTTTGGGGTTCGGTTGGGTTTTTTTCCAAAATTTCTGAATCTTGAAAATTTTGCAGCAGTGAGGGTCTCCCAGTATTTGCTTCCAGGGAAGGTTGAGACTTTTTTCTGTCTCACTGGCAGAAATGCAGACACTCATAAGACATGTTGGAGTCTGCAATACCCACAGAGCAAAACATGTCTGTTCCTTGGGTTTCTCGCTATTTCTGTTGCTTACATATAGAATAAATGTATTTACATGCTGTAAGCCTGTCATTGTGGACAGTGTCCTAATGTCTTGTATTGCTACCTACAATAAGTTTCTTTTTTGTTCTCCTTTTTTTTCTTCTTTTGGGGATGGGGGTATGGGAAAGGGAGGGGAGGGGGGGCCCTTAGACCATTGTATGCTCTAGCCAAGTAGTTACCACAGCTCTGAGGTTAATTTTATACACAATGATACTGTTGAGGTTGGCTTGATTTTGGTTTTGTTGGGGTTTTTTTTAATCTCATGTCTAGGACACTTTGTAAACTATCTTCTTACTGAGTGTTCAGAAGTTTTTTTCAGGAATTACTCTGGCTCTCATCTGGCCATGAAGTAACTTACTGTTTGCAGGCTGGCTTGCTTAATACCAGGCAGTACAAAGATGTCAGTGGTTTGTGAATGGAAACCAAACCTTCGGCCCTTCTCCCACAGGGATTCCAATGAATTACTCACTTTGGGGTCACCACCGCAATCCATTCCTAGCTTATGTGTGAAACCTTGAGTTCAAAAAATGAGCTGCACTGCAGATTTTTAAATGCTGGAGTATGTATCTTAGACATCCTCCGAAGTGGGAATTTAACAGAGATGTGAAGTGTCTGTGTGTGTGTGTGTGTATACACACAGACAAAGAGGAGAAAACAAAGGACTAGTGCTGGAGGATTTTAGCTCTGATGTTAGTTATGGGTATCCTCTTATTACCAACTTTTGCTTGGGAAGGAAAAGGTCAAAATTCGGTGTTGTATCATCACTGCAAGGTCAAATAGGCAAAACATCAAAAGCCAACAGAGTAAAAACTGGCAACTGGAATTGGACTTTAACCAAAGTCACGGAAATGAGCCCTCAAGTTTGGTAGCTCAAGCTCCTTGCTTGTAGAGGAGCATTTAGTTTATTTATGTACTTGTCCTTTAAGCTTGACACTGTTCCCTGAAATCTGAAAATCCCTTTATCTGAAAGTCCTTTGAGAAACTCTCTCTGTGCAAAAAAGCAATGATAATCCAGAGCTCCCACAAACCTGTATCCTAAATAGGTATTTCACTTTTTCTGTGGTGTTAGTTAAACGTATTTAGTACTGGTTCAGTCTCCTCAACTGCTTACAAAGCCTGCCTTCTTCTCTCAAAGCATCCCATGCCATGGCATGTAAGTACCTTCTGGATGCCTGTGAAGAAGCAGGATGTAATCAGGCAGGGCCTTCCCAGAATGACGAGGTAGCTCTCCGAGCACTGGCACTCCGGTCCCCATCTGCCAGCTTGCAGCTGATGGGACAATAGCCCCTAGATGAGAAAAGCTTGCAGAGCCCCCAGAGCTGCTTTGGCTGCTGCCAGCTGGCTCTTGCTACCACTTGCCAGTAAATTTGGGAGCTTGCACGATACAAATAAAAAGCAAAATCAGTCTGGAAAGTAAACAAAATTAGGAAGGAGAGGCAAAACACTCTTCTCCCATAGACCTTCCAAAGTACCTTGCAAAAACACCGGAGCTGAGAGCCAATAACCTACTTTGAAGCACGGTGTGTAACACAGCTGAGACAGAAGTTGTGGCATTACCCGGCATTACTCTTTTCTCATATCTGCATGGTAGACTTTTTTTGCTAAAACATATTTTGTTTGTTATTGTTTAAGAGTGAGATAAAAAAAAAAAAAAGTTAAGATGGTATCTTCAGTACCTTTCCAAAGCAAAGAAGGAGGGCCTGTAGGAAATGAAACATCTGTGCCACCCAGGTGTATCACATTTCTCCCTCCCCTTCCCATGTCACAGCTCTACCAGGGTTCATGGGATTTGTTTTCTTTGCTATTCAGATCTGGAGAAATATTTTGGTTTTGATTTCCCTATTGCTGTATCTTCTATGCAATTCCTTTTCTAAAGACTGACTTACTACAGGAGAAGTGCTAGCCATTGCATTATTTGTATTGGTGTACAGTGGAGATGTGGTTTACTAGTTCTGAGTGTGCCTCTTACCCCCCTCCCTTTTTCTCCTTCCCTCTGTTTGTAAATGCCTGCATTTATTCTGTCAGCCTGACATGTACAAAGTGTAAGAAAGAATTTTTAAACAGGTAATAAATTATATTTATAAGCAACTGGAAAAAAAATGTACCACTACTTTGTGTTCAATTGTTTAGTTCCTGGAAGCTTGGATGGAAAGTGGAGTCTTTTATTTAGTTTCTTTAAAAAAAAAAAAAAATCTCCTCAAAAGAAGTGTTACTGCACATATGAACTCCTTCTGATGCACTCTCCTTCCAAAGATACCCTTCATGACATCCACATGCCCTTGCAGGCTGTTTCACTGCACTTTATAAATCCTCATGCCTCCCCAGCTGCTAGAGGGGAGCTTGCCCCAGACAGTCTTCCTGGGGTTTGCATTTTGTGGCCACAGTCAAAGGCAGAGAAAAGCAACAGGCAACAGGCAAGAAAATGTATCCTTTGACTGAGAAGCAAAATAAATGCCACTTGGGCAAGGTTATTTTGTCCAGCAATACCTGCTTATGTCATCCACGTTGAGCCAGCTGGATACAGTGCTCAAACACCGACGTTCACTCTTCTTGCACCCGCTCCCCACTGTAGTTGTTCCTCCTGGCCTTGTTAGACCTGTTGGGCTCAGTATAAAATTTCTGGAAGTGCAAGAGGCAATTCTCCAGTACAGCTGCATGGTGCTCCTCTCAGCTGGGGTATGGGGGGACAGTGGGGAAATGGGCATCTCTTACTCCCAGCCCCTTACCTGAGCGTCAGCCCCAGGCTGAGGAGTCCACCCTGCCCATTATGGAGGTGATAATGGGCCAGAGGCAGCATTATCCCATCCCCTGGGGGTGCAGGGTTGCCTGCTGACCCTCGGGCTCTCCAGTTGTGCCACGCTGAGCAACACTCAGCCCTTGTCCCCTCACATGCCAGCCTCACAGTGCGCCAGAGAAACGTGCTTGTTCAGCAGCTCTCCCTGCAAGCGGCAAGCCAAGATAAGTCCAAGCTGAAACACTCCAGCAGCATATGAAGCCAAACAGCACACAGCCCAAAAGCCAAGAACTTGGAGACAAGTGCATTTGCCAGGTTTTTGAGACCCTGCAGCCCAGCTGGAAAAGTGCAGACCTTTAAAAACCCATCCCTAGCACGCTTGGATTACAGCAAGCTATTCCCAGGGTGTAAGGTAGTTTTATTCCATATTCCTGCCATTGCAATTTTTAATGTCAGCTACGTGGCAGGCAGAAGACAACTGCTCAGGCTGTTCTCCCTGAGCACGGGACAGCTAACGCTCCTTAACAAAGTGTATCACTAACACAAGGCTCTTCCATCTCCCACGCAATCTCTGCCTGCTGGCTTCTGTAACTTAGTGGCTCTCAAGAGTCAGCAATTCTTCCCAGGAGGGCAGGCAGCCCCACGGTACCAGCTCATGCAGTTGTCCCTTGCAGCTACTGGAACAGAACTGGGGACTGGCAGGTCACTGAGCCAAGACCTGACACCTGAAAGTCCAGATGAAATACTGGGCATGGCTCATTGCACATCGAGCATGGCTCAGAGCTGTGCCCAAGCACCAGCAGCAGGTTTACTCCATCCAAAAGCCATTGGACCTTTGGGAACATGGAGGGAAAATTGTTCAGTTTTTTTATTATTTTATGATTATCTTCTCTGTAGTAGGAATAGTATGATTATATATGAAGGACTTGAAGCTATGATGTGAAGGGAGGATCTGTATCCCAAGGGACAAAAGGCACAACTTTGTCAATGGTAACTTTGGCCACCATGTGGTCCAGCAGCTAAAGAGAGGTGAGCTGCAGGCAGGGCTGGTTTCTGCAAAACTGTGCCCATGTTGGACAGTCACTGCTTTTAGATTTCCTGGTGTCTGTCTGCCTTTCCCTTTACATACTCAGCCTTCACAACAGACAAGTTCTTTTCTGTCCATCCCATCATTCCCACCTTGTCCATGTGTATTGCCGAATTTCCTTTGGTTTCTGACACCCCTAAGGATTGGAGTCTGCCATAGCATGCAGTCTTTGCACTGGCCCAGCAGTTCCCTCCTCATATTCAGGGACTTATCCTTGAGGTACCTGACAACTACCTGTTCTTCCTGAAACTCCTGGAAGGTCTGTTCCAGTGTTGCTACATTTGAAGGGGGGACTGTGACTCTCCTTCCCAAGTAGTGAAAGGCATGGTTCAGTGTGTTTGACAAGGAGGCAGCGCTCCAATTTTGGGACAGTAGCATGACTGCTAACCTTGAATGGAAGGGAAACAGTCCTAACGTTGCTTGCAGTTGCAGAAGATACACAGGTAGCTAGCTAAGCCCAAGGCTAAATAGCACCTAGCAAGGTGGAAAGAAAATGAGAACAGAGCCTAAGACTGCCCCCAAAAGCCATAGTTAAGCTAGGACAAAGCAAGCAGGATGGGAGGAAGCAAGCAGCTGCAGAAACACTGATCTCAGCAGCATGCTGGAGAAGAGGCAGCCCAAACAAGCTATGCTGGAGTACCACATCCCCTTCAGCACCATGCAGCCGAAGTGACAAGAAACAGACCCCAAAATAAAGGATACAGAGACATGGGATACAGCCAGGGACAAGTGCACAAAGCACAGGGCTTTCCTACCTAGATGTGGCCAGGTCAAGGGACTGTAGAAATGCTGCCGGAGAATAACTGCAATGCTCTGCCACTGATCACTGATCTGGGGCAAAGCAGGAGGGCTACAGGGGCTGCGTGGAGGTGGCAACTCAGGGCAAGTTGCTGTTTACACACTTCTCTGAAAATAACCAGCAAGGCAATTAAACATTAAGAAACACTGAGCTGAATCTGGAACACAGCACTGCAGAATGAGAAGAGCGCTCCAGCTCTAAGTACAACTACATACAAATATCTCCCCACATGTAGAGGTACATATGATCCAATGTCTCTTAGCATTAAGCAATGCCATGTTTCAGCTGATGCTGTGTATGTAGACTGGAACTTTCTCACCTGAAGCACGGGGCTGAGAATTCTATCTTCAGTCTGTGCACAGATGACCTCTTGTGCTTCTTGTGCTATTAAAAATAGTAATCAAAATTCATAAATACGTGGCAGAATGAAGGGCAGGGGGGGCGTCTCAAAAAAATATTATGCAAATGCCAAATTCCTATAGATTTACATAATCAGCCTCAAAACGCGAGTGACTGCTCTATTAGTGATAACACTATTTTAATTACTATTTTTCTCTTCACTGAGTTGTGAAAGGAGTGATGCTTTTTTATGCCAGTGGAAACATATGCAGCTTATTGCTGTTTACTTGTTTGCTCAGAGGAAAAATCTTATAAAAATAAAATACATAAAATGAGGCACGGTCAAAATAATCTAGCCAGGGATCTGAAACCCAAAGATGGTGCTTTTCAAGCACGTGAAAAGGAAATAGAAGTAAAAGCAATCTCTGTCATGGGGAGATGGAAACAATTTTATTGGGGGGGAACGTTAAAACAACCATATACAATTTGAACAAATACAACGTAACACAGTTTGTTCCCCAGGTTTTCTAATTACAGTATTTACAGGTTTAATAAGGCACTGGTTCTCAAAAAAGAACACATATTAGTTTCTTAGTCTTTACATTGTCAACATTTTCTTTAATAGAAATAACTTTGTGCTAGAGAAAGGATAGCAGTTGCTAGATGGCATCTCTCTTCCTTTTTTTAATTTCTTCTCCCACTTACCTATGCCATCTTACCTATGCCAGACAGAAACTAAACTAAACTTCCTTCAGTGATTTACATTTGAAAAGTGGATTTCTAGACCTGTGGGCACTGAAGTCACAATTATCTTCACCACTGACTTCCAAGCCCTCATCAACGTGCACTGTGAAACTACCAAAATCTGGAAGTGACATTAAAAGGCCACACCTGGCAAAATAAACATATAACCTGTCGTCTTTGTACATGCTGAAAGCATAATAATGACACATTGAGTGTTACAGAAAGTCAGCCATGCAGGCAGTAACTCGAATGTCACAGTGCTAGAATAAACAACCTCCACACTTGCCTTAGGCTGTTTTCTGGCCTTAGAAATAGCCCTTTACAATACCCTTTATTAGAGTGGGTAGGAGATTTGAGGCAAAATCTGGCCTTTTGAGTCTTGGGAGAAAATAGGCACTAGTTATACAACTGCAGACTGTTTGCTTTCTCAGTGTGTGTCTCCTCATATATATATATATATTTATTTTCCTATATAGCACTGTTGTAGTGATTTGTCATTTATGCATTTTCATAAATAAATATTATGCTTTATTTAGTGCTTTATCAACCATAATAGTTTACTCTTAATCCACAATACTGGAGCTATTCCAGACTCGCAACTGAATATATATATATATTTATATATATATATATAGAAAACACATAAACTTGGAACATTTAACATACACACTTTATGTAACCTATCAACCAGTATCTTAGATCCTTTTCTCTTGGACCAAAAAAAAAAAAAAAAGAAAAAAAAAAGGTAAAACTTGCTCAGAAAACCAGTCCTTTCTTTTGCAACACACTGAGGGCAGGTGCCGGGGCATGGCATGCCTCACCTCTGCCAGTGGGGGGAAAAGCACCCTCCAAAACATTTCTCAGGAGAGCCACGATAATTTAAAAAATAATAATAAAAATCAAATCTATTTCAGGAAGGCAGAGGTGAAACACACCTAAACACAGGAGGTAAGAGGCATCCCTGCTGTGTGACCGCTTACCTGGGACCCGCAGGGACCAAGCTCAGAGGTGCGATCCGCTGAGCCTGGTCCCAGCTGCTGCCAAAGTCAGCGGTCCCATCCGCATCTTCTGAGCTCAGAAACCTTGGTTATACGGAGCTGTGCTGGCGTTTATGAAATGGAGTGAAACTAGAAACCCCATGGCTCCATTTGCTAAGACAAAAAACGTGAAGGAAGGCTGGGCTGTCCTCATTTTGGACCACAAATATCAAAGCCAAGGCGTGGAGCGCACACTACTCTCAGCTTCACAAGCACGCTGTTTTTTAAGGACAGGGAAACCAGCATCATCTCTCTTGGGGTCAGGATTTGGTGTACTAATGTAACTAATGCTAACTATTTAATTCTCAGAGATTTTCTTTTCATATTGCATTGCTTGGCAATTTTGGGCAGGGAAACTGC